ATTTCATTATTTTTACTTAGTTTTAAATATTTAAATTAGTATATTAAATTAAATATAAACTAGTATGTATCAATTATATACAATAATGAGTTTCATTATGGCTTTTTTTTTTGGCTTTTCGAGACAGGTTTTCTCTGTGTAGCCCTGGCTATCCTGGAACTTGCTCTGTAGACTTGGCTGGCCTCCAACTTAGATATCTGCCTGCCTCTGCCTCTGCCTCTCAAGTGCTAGGATTAAAGCCTTGCACCACCACCACCTGGCTCATTATGATGTTTTCATACACATAACACAGCTATCATTTTCACCCCATTGCCCTCTTATCCCCATCCTCCTCCCAACTAGTGTGTGTGTGTGTGTGTGTGTGTGTGTGTGTGTGTGTCTGTCTGTCTGTCTGTCTGTCTGTCTGTCCTTTTGAGTTTCATTGGGGTTGCTTATTGGGGTATTGGTGAGGGATTATTTAGAGGATTGTGGGCACCTTCTAGGAGCTCATTATTTTCTGCTTTGGAGAATTATTATGTTTATAGTACTACGTTGTTTATAATGAGACAGTAAACACAATGGAAGATACATTTAAAATTTTTAATGAATTGTCTCTGAGTGTACAAAGGAGAACCTTATTATGCCAGAGAATTATAGTTTTTAGTGCATTGAATCTGTACCCCAATTTTTATTAAGAGTTTGATAACTGACTCATGAATGGCGATTTTAAAGACCCACATCCCTGCCTCTTAACTTCTTTTTTCTTTCTTCTTCAGGCAATGTTATGAATAGTTCTTTAATGACTCTTCTTGGTGGCATCTTAGATAAATGTTACTTTTAAGTTTTTTACTTTGAAAATGTTGAGATATAAATGAAAGTAGAGAATCTCATAGCTCAGACTCAGTGGTTAATAACTCTGTCAATCATTATTCATTTAATCAGAGATGGAACCGACCACTAGTGAGCATGTGTCTACACATCTACATGTGTAAGATGCATTTATTACTGAATTTTTACCATCCAGAGTGGCTGTAATGCTTTTTTTTTTTCAGTTTCATTTTTTATACTGCCATACATATGTGCACTGGATTATGAAATAGTGGTGTTTTTTCAAGTGGTTCTCTGAGATCTATGAGAATACAACTAGAAAAGAATATGCATGTCTACTTGGAAAGAGCAAAGAAAATCTGGCACTTAGGATTGTCACCTGAAGTCCATACAGAGAGACTGAAACTGCTAATTTCTCACCGCTTTCAACTCTGAAGATGCTGACTCCTATAGAGAGGGCGAGTGTCCTTCATGTTCAAGCCCAGTGCACACCTGCCCTGGAGTCAGTGGCTGAAGGACAGATGATCTGAGGGAGGTAGCAGCAGGTGCAGATCTGCTTGATCTTCTCATGTTAGTATTCTGAACAGGAAAATACTATAGCTCCTGTTTCTCTTGTCGTCTGGGCCTCCCAGGAGATGTCTTTTGTAGCTCACCTTAACCCAAAGCCGGAAGGACCAGAATTGTGACACATTGTAAAGCTTCTATTTTAGCAATTATTCAGTCTAGTTTAATCAAACACCTTTATATTATTTTAAAAGAAATTCCAAGTGCTATATGATTTTTGCCATAAACTTCAGTATGTGTCTATAAAATGTAGAATTTTAAAATAATATTTTTAATTCTTTGAGTGGGTCTTGAGGACTTCCTTGATCCATTGTGGAATTTTGACTGACTTCATCTTATGAAACTGAGTTGATGCATTCAACAGCCTTGTCACCTCCAGAAGTCAGCATGTTATAGTTCTTCTCGCTAACTCTTCCTTTCTTCTGTGACGTTGCCTGCGCCTCGGACGGTGGCAAGCTAATATAGATAACACATGCGCAGTTACTCACACTGTGCACTTCCGCCAGTTATGGGTCTTACCTAAGAGTCCTCTCTGACCAAATATGAGAGCAACACAAATCCATGGCTACAAACATCAATATTTAGAAAGCAGCGTGAAAGTGTCACCATTTAGCAAAACAAAAACAGTAGGCTCCCCCTAAGGCCTGTGATCTCCTCAATAATGGACGTTTGACCAGGCTTACAGTTCCAGGCATCAAATTCCTCCTGTGGAGCTAGGCTCATAGCCAATAAGAAAGCAGTTGGTTACTCCCATAGTGATCATGGCAGTATTGTACTAATGGGCACATCTGGCCAACAGGTCAGTGTTGTAGTATCAGGTTCCCACACTAGGTAAGACCAGTGATACTTCTTTCCCCCAGCAGCCTTGATAGCACCTCTGCCATTCAGTAGAATTTATTAGTCAGTTGAGATTGATTTTCCTATGTCCCTCTCCCAAAGTGAGTGGTGTCTTTAGCAAAAGCTCTTACCACCTAAAGATAGGGAAATAGAGATATCGTCACTAGCCCATTTATTTATTTTGTTTGTATGTTTATGTGTGCACACACCCACGCCACAGTGGGTATGTGGAAGTCAGAAGACAACTTGCAGGAGTCAATTTTCTCTTCTTCCATGTAAGTTCTATGGATTGAACTCAGTTCATAAATGCTTTGTGACAAGCTCCTTTATGCCTGAGCCATTCCAGCAACTCAAATTAATAACCTTTTAAGGCTCTGTTGAACATGAGTTTTAGGGTCACTATTTAAGACATTGTGTCCTCTTAGTAATTTTCCTGCCTTTTTAGCAAAGTGGTAAGCTTATCAGTTGTACCTAATCTTATGTCTTGTTTATAAGAAAAATAATCTTATTTATAGCAAGTAGCTGAGCAGTCACCTAGGATGAGGATTGTGTTGGCTGTTATAGTTATATTAGCCTGTGATGATTCTTTTACTGCTGTGCCACCATGAAGAGTTACATATTTTTCAGCTGCAACCTTAGGTCGTTGGAGTAGCAGTGAGAGGGAAATTTTGTTACATCTTCCCATTGGTGAACGACCCGTTCTTGTTCTTAGATGTATTTTGACAAAACAGAATTTATTTTGTCTTATGTTCTGGCATATACTGTGATAATTATGGTAAGAACTGATTTGTCATTAACCTATGGTTTGATAGACTGTGGCAACCTCCCAAGTAAGCAAAGGCAAGAATTCCCAAGCAAGAAAGTCTTAAGAGATATGGCCATCATATGGAGCTGATATGTAATTATATGTTTCAAGTCATTTTTTTTATGTGCATTGGTGTTTTTGCCATGGGTATTGGGTCCCTTGGAACTAGAGTTACAGACAGTTGTGTGAGCTGCCATGTGGGTGCTGGAATTGAGTTCGGGTCCTCTGGAAGAGCAGTTAGTGCTCTTAACTGCTGAGCCCTCTCCTCAGCCCTTCAAGTGAAATTTTGATTAATGCCTTCCCTTTTCCTACTTTGTTTTGTGTGTATGGGTGTTTTGCCTGCATGTATGTCTGTGTACCATGTGCATTTAGTACCCACAGAGAGTAGAAGAAGGCCACCAATCTCCTGGGACTGGGGTTATGGATATTTGTGAGCTGCTGTGTAGGTGCTGGGAATTGAACCTCGGTCCTCTACAAGGGCAGCCAGTGTTTTTAACTGCTGAGCTGTCTCTCTAGCCCCAAATACCTTACATTTATACACTGATAAACTCATCCAGAGGTTCTGATGCAATAGCTGTCTAATTTTAGATGTTCCTGAGGAAAAAGCTGTGCATCTAGCCTTTATCTTCACCAGTACTTTTTACATTTTCAGTATGCCAATTTAATTGGTAAAATTTATCAATGTATCTAAGTGTTTAGGCCCTTGGGAATACTCTGAACTTGCAAAGGAATGATGTAGAGTCAGTGACTGTGTGACAGTGTAGAAATACCTGGAAATGCTTAGAAGAAACCTGCCCTTCTATCCACCTTGATAACATTGTCAAGACAGTGTGCTACCCCTGTTTGAGGGTGAGGTGTGCATGGCCCTTTTAACTTTTGTCTCTTATTCAACAGCCATCGAAAAACATGTTTTTAGCTAGAAATGGGAAAACTAAGCCAGGAAGAGGGTTGTGGAGGCTTCTCTTATTTTCAGTAAACAGAGCAGATGGCCGTGTGATTAGTTGTCTTTTTGAACAACAAAGGAAAAACAAAATCATTCCCACCCCACTCCCCAGCTCTGGTTGATGGGGCGTCTTGGCACTTCTTCCATGCCTTTTGGAGAGCTTTCTTGATCTTGAAGCTTTTATCTTGGCAGTTGAAGCTTCAGCATTTTCATCTCCATTGCTGTTTTGTCAGAAGTTCTTTCTAGAAGAAACAGACTTGCCTTTTGGCTGCTCTGTCTGGATCTTTGTTCTTTTCCCCGTTCCTCCTTGTGAACATTCGGCTCTCTCCAACTTCCTGCCCTTCTGGTTTCTAATGGGAAGTCAGGTAGAGTGCTTCAGAGCACAAATCCTGGAGCGAAGCTTGGGTGTGAATCCTCATCCTGCTCCTAACCTCCCTCCAGAGGGATGCTTGATGACACAAGAGTTAATACAGAATACTCCGAACAGTGCTTTCTTCCCAGTAGCCACTGTCCGAAGTATTTTATTTTAGTTTTTAAGAAAACAGTGTTCTGCTTCTGAATTACATTGGCAATTACATGGTTGTATATAGTTTTTGAAACTGTGTAAAGGGTATACTGGGTGATGCACAGAGGAATTGGTAACCAACGACAACATGACTCAACCTTTCTATCTGAATGAATAAGACAGTGATAATACAGGGTAAGTCTGCATATCAGGGTAATGAGGCAGGAGTGCCAAGCAGTTTATTAGGCACCCAGGCAAAACATAAATTTCAAAGATTCGAGGTAGAATTACTTTCTGTCTTCACAAAGTCTTCATCCAGTAGCAGGAACTTGGGTGGATTGTAGAAGAAAGGTAGTTGGACATTTGGGAACATGGGTATTCAGAAGGGTATGGGTGCAGGTGCAGAGTCCAGGATAGAAACACATGTGGAGAGTTTAGGTAGCCACTGGATGACTGCTTCTAACAAAATGGACTCCTTCCCACTATGTGAAGAGCATTCATGTTGTTGAGACTAACAGGATATTTCTTTTCATCCCTAGAAAGGTCCTACTTCTGGTAAAGACCGAGTGAAGAAAGGTGGCTCCTACATGTGCCATAAGGTCAGTCATGCTCCTCAACTGTTGAGATGTTCTCGTGGGTCACAAGTTATCACAACGTACTGCCCTCAAACGTTCCATTCATTTTTGCTGATAGAAGCCTCTTCCCATCCAAATGAGAAAAAGACAAGGGAGTCTTCAATTTACTAGCAGACATGGGGGAAAGTAACAGGCCAAACAGAGCTTGTGAATTGTGTGCTGTCAGCCAGATAATCTGCTGACTCTTGCCTGGTGAGAGGCTTCTGTTGTTCTGTGAAATAGTGTGGGCCATCTACCTATACCCATGTTTAAGTCTAGGACCACACCTATAATTTCAGATGTCTGTAAATTCCTGAATTCTCTGTTGAGATTAAAGCTAAAGTTATAAATGGAGGGTGGTTTGTGGTCTACCAAAATGGAAGCACCCTAGTGTGTTGGGTGTAAACATGTGCATTTTTGCTCCATGAGCTATGATTTCAGTGTCCAGACTGGCAGTTCCTGGCTAGTCAGAGTTACTGGTGCCTCACGAGCAACTTTCATAAGGAATTTGGAAATAGAATGTAACCCTTTCCCTTTCCTCTTTGAGTCATGTATTTTTAGTTCCTTGAGCACTCAGGGTCTGACTTTGGCTGTGTACAAAGAAGCATTTTGCAGTTTAATATTACCAAGAATCTTTGCATGGTAATTGACTCAGTCCTGAGACTTAAAACCATCTATAGTGACTCCAAATTAAGTTATTGATTTTGTAATAGAGATATTATCAAACTTTGTTCAAAAACATCAGGATCTTTAAAGCTTTTCAGGTTTTGAAAACATACAGCAAAGTTTGGTAATGGTCTCAAGAAACTAGATGATATCCATGAGTGTATTTGTATGTGATCTCTGTGAGTTTCTTCTTTTAGACTCTTTGACCATGTGATTCAGGTGGGAAGTTCATCCAGTTTAGCTCAATTCTTGCTTCATCCCTGCATTAAACTGAGCATAGTGGCACACACCTTTAATTCCATCAGACAGAAGTATATGGGTCTCTGTGAGTTCAAGATCAGCCAGGGCTACACAGTGAGAACCTGTCCTAAAAAGCTGAAGCTGAAGCTGGGCGGTGGTGGCGCACGCCTTTAATCCCAGCACTCGGGAGGCAGAGCCAGGCGGATCTCTGTGAGTTCGAGGCCAGCCTGGGCTACCAAGAGAGTTCCAGGAAAGGCGCAAAGCTACACAGAGAAACCCTGTCTCGAAAAACAAAAACAAAAACAAAAACAAACAAACAAAAAAAGCTGAAGCTGAAAAGTACAACAGATCTACACTACTAGTAAGATGTGGGTGAATTTAACTTTATGGAATCATAACAAATTAATTAAATTTTTGAGTCAGGGTCTTGGTATGCTGGCCATGTAGTCTCCAACTCCTGAAGTAAAGCATTCTTTCTCCCTCAGCCCCCTAATAAATGGGACTATGGATATATTCTACCTTTCTTGGCTCATGTCTCATTTTGTGTGTTTTTGGTTTTGTTTTTTTGAGACAGGGTCTCACAATGTAGCTCTGGTTGGCTTGGAATTTACTATGTTGACCAGGCTTTCCTTGAACTCACACAGATCCACCTGCCTCTGCCTTCCTAGTGCTGGGATTAAAGGTGTGCACCACCATGCCCAGCCTTGATCATAGGGAATGAATAATTTTTTGAAATTAAGTATTATACTGCTATAGTTGTTATATTTCATATCAGATTGAGAATGTTACAATTTTTTTGAGACAGGGCTTCTCTGTGTAGCCCTGGCTCTCCTGGAACTCACTCTGTAGACTAGGCTAGCTTGAACTTGGAGATCTGCCTGTCTCTGCTTCTCAAGTGCTGAGATTAAAGGTGTTGTGCCTCCACCACCCAGCTTATATGTAATTTTTAATCATCAATGAATATAGATTTTGCTAGATGCTTTTTGGACATCTGTTGAGATGGTTTTCTTTTCCTCTTCAGTCAGTCAGTTAGTGCAGTATAATATGATGAAGTGCAGTGATTGATGTTCATTTTCCTGTTGCTTTTGGAGTCAGTGTCTCACTGTGTAGCCACGACTGACTTTGAATTCACTGTGGGACCCAGAATCGCACAATAGCAACCAACCATGTCCAGCTTGATTTTCGTTTATCAAACCACCACTGCATTCCTGGTGTGATTCCACTCAGTCATGATGTGTTATCCTTTTTATGTATTTTGGATTCAGTTGTTTAAATTGTTGAGAACTTTTGCATATACTTAATGATGAGTAGATCCTTTTCTTGTTCCTAGTAATCTTTGTGTGGTTTTGGTTTATTGTTATGTTCATAAATTTAATTGGAAAATATTTTCATATTTTCAGTTTTTTATCCCCAATTTTTAAGAAGACTTCATGTGAAACTAACATTATTTCCTTCTGAAATGCTTGGTAGAGTTCCTGATTAAAGACATTTGGACCTAGACTTTAGCCTTCCCCTCCCATTCCTGTGATGGAAACCCAAGCAGACTACATTTGCAAGGAAAAGAGGCTCATTGTGGTGGATGTTTTTAGGGATGCAAGGCTGAACAGCATTATATGCTGATTATATTTTTGCTGGCAGTATTCAGAGTTGGTCCAAGGCATCACATGGGAAGTGATGAGGTGTGTTTGTGAGTGGTGTGTGTGCATGCACGCGTGTGTGCACATTCCTTATGATCACTCCCCCTCTTCTTATAAAGTTAATAAGATTCAAGTATATTGACTCTACGTAACTGATGTTACCTAATCCTAATCACTTCCTCAAAAGGTCTCACTTCTAAACAACATAAGGTATGTCTTCACCCCCTTGACAGCCTTAGGGAATACACTCAAACTGTATCTAAACTTTCACAAGTTATAATTGTAAAGTTACTTAATAGATGCTGGCCTTTATAGATTATCTGTTTCTACTTGGGTAAGCTCTGATAATCCTGTTTTTTTAAGGAATCAAGTCTTTCATATGAATTTTTGAATTTATTATTTCAGTCTTTGCATTTTCATTGATTATTTAAACCAATTATATTTAATGCAACTATTGATATTATTGAGTTTGAAATTGGTTTCTTGAGATTTTGTTTTTTTTCTTTGCCTTATTTGTTCTTTTTTAATCTTTTTTGGATTAAGTTATTTGAATCACTTCATTTTCTCTCCTTAAGCTTGTTATCTATAACTCTGTTTTAAAATGAGTAGTTGACTTAGAATCAAGTTAATAATTAACTTTTTTGAATCAACCTGTAGAATATATCTTGAGTTGTTTAGGCTTAGAGTGATGGAGAAACTATTACAAGAGAGAATAATAGAATGACAAAACTGGATAGAATCGGAATGTTTCCAGAGGAAGACAACAGGTCCAGAAATAAATAAAAAGAAAGAATGTTATAATTAATTTTTAAAAAGATTTATTTTTATTTTGTGTGTATGGGTATTTTGTCTAATATATGTCTGTGCACAACTTCTATGTTGAGTGCCCTTAGAATTCCATATAGATACCAAGATGACAAAGGAGTTGGTCTGTGTCGTTTGAAAGAGCAGTGGTATGACCTGGGGTCAGGTACATGCTTCTCTAGAATGATTTTATTCAATACGAGACACAGTTGCCTTAAAAATACCCTTTATCTGAGAAACATTTTCCTCTCATGAAAACTATATTTCTGTCTCAATTGAGTTCACATCCTCCAGGCTAGTAGGTCATTATCATAAATGGATTGTTTCCTGGTCCAGGATCACATCCTTAGCATAGATACTGAGACCACTTTTACAAAGTCATTAGCCATTTTGATCAAATCAGGTTGAAGCAAGTCCCTCCTACTACTCCTGTTCTTAATTAATAGAATGACCCATTTTTCAGCCACCCAAAGACCTCACGTCCTTTAAGAACCACTTTTGATGCTAAAAATAGACGCAAAAAATATAAAGAATAACCAGAACATTCATAACCAGGACATTTACTCTTTATTTGTGTCTCTATTAGTAACCCATTATTGAAATTTAAGAGAAGTACTTATTAATAAATATTTTCTGAGTGAATGTATGTGTTTAAGTAAAATGATGGTATGAATTGATTCTTTGCAGGTGATGGGCCTACCCTTTCAGTACTCATGAGTGCAGGTGTGTGCAAGCATGAATGTGTCAGTATGTGTCTATGTGTCAGTATGTGTCTATGTGTCTGTTGCTAAGGATCAAGCCCAGGGCCTTGCGCACACTGGGAAAATGCTCTACCACCAAGTGATGTCCCCCTCCCCTCATCACTTTTGTGGTGAGACTTGCTGTTTTTGAATTCAGTTCTTCGTAGTTGTTTTGGTTAATGGAAGACTCGGGAACTGCAGTCATCCAGTGATGACCCTTTATGTAGTTGTTGATTTTGAGGCTTTTTGTTATACCAACAAAGCAAATTCATTGCATAAAATTTAGAAAAGAAAGATAAAGATGGCAATAAAATCAGATGTCTTATGTCCTAGAGAAAACTATTAGATGGTGTTCTGCCATGAGTTTTTATGTACTCTAATATATATTTTTCAAAATGGAATTAATTACTTAGTCTATACTCAAGATTTTCAATTATGGTCATAATAACAATTTTGTAAGTCACAGATCTTTTCTCTAGTCTCTGATATCATTGATGCAGAATCCTTCTCAACACTGCTCTGAGCAGGCACTGAAAATTCATCAGAGCTGTTGCAGCCTGGCTTTTGTAGCATATAGAATAAGCCATCCAACAAAAACTATAGTCCTGTGCTCTATTACCAGAGCTGTCCTTCAGCTTGCTTGTTTGTATGGCAATAAACCTTTCCCTTCCATCTGTGTAGCACAAGTCGATCCACAGTCGAAAGCTGGAGGAGGTGTCATCTTTTCCCCACACTCAACACAGTCTCAAGGGCCTGCTTCAAAGCTGGACAGTAGTGCTCTTGTTTCTGTGAGGAAGAGGTCAGCCAAGCTGTGTTTCTGTGACCAAGATTGTGTGTCTACTAAACATATCATTTGCAGTACTCTCTATACGCCACTTGGTTTCCTTTGGTATGGAAGGGTTTGTTTTGGTGTGTTTCAGTTTTTGTGGTGCAAGGGATTGAATGCAGGCCTTGCTCACATTAGGCACGTACTCAACACTGAGCTCAGTCTCCAACCAAGATGAAGTGTTTCTATGGACTTCTATGAACAGCTTCATTTTATGAATGAGGACCCAGATTCTTGAATTTCTGTGGACTTCTCTGGACAACTTCACTTTATCAATGAGGACTCAGGTTCTGGAAGGCTTTGCCTGAGGTTAAATAGCCACTGAGCTCAGAAATTTGCCCTTGCTGGTCAAAAATTAGTAAAATATTTATCACCATTTTCATTTGTATGCAGTTCAAATTCCTCTGACTATGGAGACAGTAGTGTGAGTTCATCTCTTTATCTGATCAAATTTCTTGCTTTTTATATTAACCGTCTTTGGCCCATTTTGGTTGGAATTCTGGTTTTCCAATTCTTGGGCATCTCAGCTCCCTCTCAGAGAGGCCTTTCCAACCCCCCTATAAAAAGTATCCACCGTTGTTTTTGGTTCTCGCTCCCCATTCTTACTTCCTTCAGAGGCCACCACTGCCTGAAGCAGTCTTGAATTTTTCAGTCTGTTCATAGTCTGACTACTCCCTTTGAATGTCAGCTGTCTGGTAACAGGCTCCTTGTTTGTCTGCTCTGTCTGATTATGTTCCTCATGCCTAGAATTGCATCTGGCATATTACAAGCTCTCATATATTTAATGTATAACCCTGCTGTGATGTGGTCGGGCTACGGTTGGGCTGTTCTCTTGCCTAATTTTTGCCATTTTCATGCTTCTGATACCATTGTCTAGCCACTTATCTGCCGGCCACTCCCCTTTATAAATTGCTGCTACTCAAAATGTACTCCATGGGCTGAAGCATGAGGCAGCACCTGGAAGCTTGTTAGAACTATACCTTTTGAGTGCCACACGAGTCCCATGAAAGCAGCATTCTGGGTGTGTGGCCTAGGAATGTGCATTTGAACAAGCTCTTCAGGCTGTGTGTGTGTGTGTGTGTGTGTGTGTGTGTGTGTGTGTGTGTGTGGTCTTGTTGCAGTGATAAAATACTCTTTCCAAGCAACTTAAGGGCTAGTGAGATGACTCACTGGGTGGAAAGAAGTACTTGACAGGACCGATGACTATTAGGGATCATTGAATTATACAACGTACAGACAGTATAAATAATTTAAAAGCAACTTATGGAAGAAAAGGTTTATTTTGGCTCACAGTTCCAGAGTACTGTCTGTCATGACATGAAAGTCATAGTGGCTATGGTTTGAGGTAGCTGGTCACATTGTATCCACAGTCAGGAGACAGAGGGGGACAAATATTGGTGATTAGCTAGCTTCCTCCTTCTTATGCCATCTAGCACTGCAGCCTAGGGAATGATGCCACCCATATTTAGGGTGGGTCTTCCCACCTCAGGTAACCTTATCAAGATAATCCCTCACATGCATGGCCAAAGGTTATCTCTTTGGTGATTTTAGTCCTGTCAGAGTTACAGCATTATTCACCACAAATGCATTCTGAGAACCACTGTCATAATAATGTATGTGTCACTTAGGCCAAGTACTTCCTAGAGACATTGCCATTCCACTAGGGATTCAAATGACTAGCGTTATTCTCTTAATTAGGTTGTTTTGTAACTGTTTGATGTGTAGTCATTGTTTTCTCGCACGCCTGTGGTCTCCAGCCAACCAGGACAGGACCATGCCTAGACCTGGGTATGTTCTCCCAGTGTATACAGTAGGCATTCAGGAAATGAAATTTCTCCTGATGTATGCAGTAGGCAGTCAGGAAATGAAATTTCTCTGGTGCATACAGTAGGCGGTCAGGAAATGAAATGCTTGTTGTTTTCATTGTGTGTGGTCCCATCGTGGGATAAGATTGTCAGCATCATCTGTGTGCCTCCCCCGAGCTTGACCTTCGCTACAGCATGGGATTCACTGCATGTGTGCAGTTTCAGATTGTGCTAAGTTCTCTGAGTTTGATTCTAGAAATGTCAGAGCTCTGCCATTTCACAGCAGCCTAGTGCCTGCACTGAGGATTCTGCTGTGTCTTCTCACACACTCTTTACCAGATGTTTGCGAGCTTCTGTTCCTGAGTGTCACACAGGCGCAGATACCATCAGCTTCTTATTATTTCAAGCACATTCCAAATTCATCTTCCGTCTATCTACCTGAGAATTGGTAATACATTCTGTTCCTCACTGTCCACAAGGAAAATTGGCTGCTATTGTTTTATTATCTATAGAAGATTGAGCATTCTGTCTTTCTTTTTTTATGGGGGAAATGCACCAGAGAATTTCCATGTCAACCTCAGAGATAATTTTTATGGAGATTAGAAGCATCTGACTTTTTGTGAGAGAAAAGAAATAATAGGAATAAAAAAATGTCTTGCATGCTGACCTATTTTTTTCCCTTCCTACAAATTATCTCTTCTGTGTGAGTTCCCACCATTTTCTACACAATTCTTTTTGAAGTTTCTTTAACCAGCTGGCAGGCACTTGGGTTCACTGGGCCAGCTCTTGAGTTTATGCTCATGGTACCCAGGATGACTAGTTTGTTTTCATTTTCTGTTACTTTGAATCAGGGAGTGAACCTCACAAGAGTTCTGTCTGTGCATGGTTATTTTGGAATCTGGCAGCTTTCAAAATGCTGTGTCAAATAGTCCATGGCTACAGATCCTTGTCCTGTGCGTTTGTGTGAGTGCGTTTCTAAGTGGGATGTGTGTGTGTGTGTGTGTGTGTGTGTGTGTGTGTGTGTGTGTGTGTGTGTGTTGGTGGTAGGAGAGAAAGTGTGAGAAGGATGGCACCCTTCCCACCGAGAGTGTGGACTCTTGCTAAGAAAGGAAGCACACTGCAGCTCGTCCAGATTGGAGTCCTGCATCCTTTAACAACGCTGCCTGCCACCTTCTCTAACTTGCTTGCTTTGCCTAGGCGCTTACATTAAAGAAAGAAAAGATGAAAGTGCCTGCTACCGTGCCTGCTGTGTCCGAGGAAAAGCAGTGTCCATGTGTGTGGGCACTTAGACTCTGCGCTTACACAGTTAGACAGAAGGTGCCGGGCGGTGGTGGCGCACGCCTTTAATCCCAGCACTCGGGAGGCAGAGGCAGGCGGATCTCTGTGAGTTCGAGGCCAGCCTGGGCTACCAAGTGAGTTCCAGGAAAAGGCGCAAAGCTACACAAAGAAACCCTGTCTCGAAAAACCAAAAAAAAAAAAAAAAAAAAAAAACACAGTTAGACAGAAGGAAATAAACTGCACCCCAAAATGTATAGCTTTATTATTACTGTGATTTATATTCCCAGGGCATTGGGAAGAAAGCAGTTTTCCTATAGCCTTTCTTATGTTTTATGTTCCTATGCTGACTCTTTAGTTTTTACCAGCCTGTTTAATATATTACATGATATTTGATGCTGTTATTAATCTTTTATTGCCATTTGTCTCTACTGATAAAAATGCCAAAAATTGATACAATAAGCTAAAAATCAGAAACTTCGCTTTCAAGGATAATGATTGTGAGTGGTAGAATCTTGTGGTCTTTTAGTGCCTTTTTTCCCTTAGCATATGGTTATATAGGTTAGGCCATACCATATATACGGCTCTATATCCTGACTTTTAATTTAACACTTCGTTATGGGAATTCTGTGTTTCACATATTATGTAAAAACATTATTCTCACTGGCCGCTGACTGTATAATCACATGGGAACCATGGCTGGTTACTGTTTGCTTTTTTTTTTTAAAAAAAAAAAACTGGTGTTTGTAAGTGGTGGAGGCCTTTCTACTCTATGTAGGTAGTATTTTTAAGGTGAAAAATACTGGCTGGTGGACTCTTGAATGTGCTGCCCATTGCCAAGCATACATTAACACTGAGTGTCTAGGAGGGCAGTTCAGGGGAAGCTCTGACTTCAGGTAGCTCTAACTTCTCTGTACCAGGTACTTTGGTGCCCTAAGCCTTAGGCCAAGGTTCCAGGATCTCTTATGGCGTGTTCTCTTTTACAGTCCTATTGCTATAGGTACCGCTGTGCAGCTCGAAGCCAGAACACTCCAGATAGCTCTGCATCCAACCTGGGATTCCGTTGTGCAGCCGACCACCTTCCCACTGTGGACTGACAGCCAAGAGGAGCCTTTCCAGATCCAGGACATTGTTTCTGATGTGCAACTGGCTTCCCCCAAACTTCGAACTGATCTCGTATAAAGAATTCCCACCTGAAGAGAGTTCCATGTCTGCCCAGTAGCCAAAGGCCCCGTCGTGCGTGACCAAACTGCTGCCCATCAGTGCTCGTGCTTTACCGTGTGGTGCGTCTCTGGGGATCATCGCCGTGCTTTACTTTGAGAACCTTTGAAGAGGGGGGAGAGAGCAGAGAACCTTGACGTCCTGCCCAGACTCTGCCACAGGGTTAGACCCTGGGGTCTAGGACTTCATCTGCCTGGGCTCTGTCCCGTCATCAAATGAGGGGATGGACAACATGGTCTCTGAGGCTCTCTCCAACCCACAGATTCTGTGCGTAATAGCAGAGTGTATTGTGATTGCATAGTGAGAATTTATGACAGATTATTTTTTAGCTATTTTTTTGCCATGTGTGAACCTTGGGTAATACTAATCGTATAAGGTGAGCATCCTCTTCTGTATTATTTTCAGGAAAGGGTAGGGTGTGAGTCTTTTGTATTCCTACTGCACTTTGTTCTTTTGAGGAAATCAGTGTCTTTTACATTGTTGTGACAAATCCCATGTGGGCCAGTGATGGGACACTCAAGTTCAGAGTTCTGAACACACAGGAATGTCTGTGGAGTGACTCTACTGTCCCTTATCTTTTAACATCAAGTGCCTTTGGCTCAGAGGGACAGTTTGAAGCCCTGTTTCCCCTTCGCCTCCAAGCCTTCAGAGAATGTGAAATGTATACTAATCAGAGAAACTGCTAAATTCTAGATATAAGGGAAAAAAAACCAGGGCCTTGAATAGACTACATTCAGGGTACTTGGTATATTATACTAGAGAGATGGGATATCTTGTTGACTCTGAGATACCAGATGCTTTGAGTCGTGCACTATGTCAAATAAACTGGTACCCCAAGTCAGACTTCACTCTTCATTCCTTACTCGGACTCTCTTTCTCATCCCCTCCCTTGTGTTTTCCTTTTTAAAAAAAAAAAAAAAAAAAAGACTGTGTGATGCTTGCATATTTTGTTTGCTAGAAAATGTTTTTTACATCCAGAAGCTAGTTGATAACTTTGATGCATGGGTAGTTTGTGGCAGTTTTTATTCTCTAAAGCAAGGACATTCTGTCAGGACCCCTGGTTTAACCTTGCTACTTCTCACCACAACAGACACTGCAGAGTCAAGGGCGTTGCTTGGTGAGCAGATGCATCACAGTGCCAGGAAAGCCCTTCTTTTAGAGTGACGGCTTTCAGCCCGACATCCCTTTTGTTAGAATCCACCCATTTTTCCGAGTCCCTGAGCTGTTTCTAGAATAGCAGTTGAAGAAAGGCTCGCCTTTGTGCTGGTTGCTCAAGATGCCAGTCAAATAATACTTAGAGGTGACCAGTCAACACTGTTGCTATTACCTTTTTACTTAAAAAAAAAAAAAAACAAAGATTTGTAGGAAGTAGCTTATGTAGCAAATAAAGTTTTTATTTTTGAAGTCATTGCTACCCCATGTAGCTTGAGTTTTCCTGCCTGGCCCACAGTCAGGACAAATCTCTCTCACCTGCCAGTCCCACAGCCACTCAGACCCGACCAAGTAAACACAGAGACTTATATTAGTTACAAACTGTATGGCCGTGGCAGGCTTCTTGCTAACTGTTCTTACAGCTTAAATTAATCCATTTCCATTAATCTATACCTTGCCACATGGCTTGTGGCTTACCGGCATCTTCACATGCTGTTTGTCATTGTGGCGGCTGGCAGTGTCTCTCTGACTCAGCCTTCCACTTCCCAGCTTTATGCTCCTCCTTGTCCCGCCTATACTTCCTGCCTGGCCACTGGCCAATCAGTGATTTGTTTATTGATCAATTAGCAACACATTTGCTATACAGAACATCCTACAGTAACCCCATACAGTTTTTGTTTTTTCTTATTACCTCCCACCTGTGTGTGTGTGTGTGTGTGTGTGTGTGTGTGTGTGTGTGTGCACATGCACATACCTGTATATATTTTACATCTTTATAGTGCATATATTTTGGCCTCTTTCCCTGTTAATTAATGTTACGTATCATAAACATTCTTGAGTGGTTTTGGGCAGTCCTTAGAGCTGCATTTTTATCAGCAGCATGATATTAGAGAACATTTAAAACAAAATCCTAGCATGTTCTAGGATTTAAGAACCACATATCTAGGTTACTATAGCATACTCTCATTATATATTAACGTATGAACAGATAGAATGTAGTAATAACAATTTCACATTTAAGTCCCATAAATGTGATTCTGAATGTGTTAGTTACTTGTCTTACCCTTGCTTGTGGTGGAGGCAGATCATCATGGCAGCAGAAGCATGTGGAAGAGGAGGCTGTTCACTTCATGGAGGACAGGAAGCTGAGAGAGGTAAGGGACCCCAGGTATAACTTTTACAGAAACACCTCTACTGACCTACTTCCTCCAGCTAGATCCTACCTCTTCAAAATCTGCAACCTCTGAAAAATAGAGCCACCAGTTGGGGACTAAGTGTTCAGTACACAAGCCTGGGTGGGACACTGCATAGTCAAACCGTTAACACTGAAAGTTTTTATCTCCTACAAAACTGCGCGCGCGCACACACACACATGCACATACAGGCACACAGACGCACAAACATACACACAGGCACACATACAGGCATACACACATAGACAAACAGATACACACACAGACATACACATAGGCGTACGCATAAGCACATGTACATATTCATACATAGACACACAGGCACACACACTTAGGCATATACTCACACACACAGGCACACAGATACACAGGCACACACAGGCACAAATACACACTCAGGCATATACAAACAGGCACACACATGGCAGGCACACACACAGACACACAGACATAGGCACACACACAGGCATACACATAGGCAGACATGCACACAGCCATACATACAGGCTCACACAGACATAACACTCAGGCACACACACAGCACATAAGAAAAACCATGTAGCTAGAGGCAGACTACTTAGGAAACCGACAGCAGCACTTGTGAAGTAGGTGTCATAATGAAACCAGGACCCTAATGAGATTCCTGCTGCCATTTGTAACTAGAGTTACAGCTCTCCAGTCTTTTGTTCCTCTAATGCCTGATACCCTCTCTCCCTTCTTTAGGATGTAAGCCCTTAAAGGCATGCACTTCTAATGAGACCATTTTCATCAAAACTCAAACTTAGCTGGGAGCCTGGTCTAAATAGTCAGTTCTAGGACAGTCAGAGCTACATAGTGTGACACCTTGTCTCAAAAAAAAAAAAAAATCCCAAAATTAAAAAACAACAAAACAAAAAAAGTCAAACTTGGATGCAGGGGATCGTCCTCAACTGTTTGCTTGTTTGTTTAATTTATTTATTACATATACAGTGTTCTTCCTGCACGTATGCCTGCACTCTAAAAGAGGGCACCAGATCTCATTATAGGTGGTTGTGAGCCACCATGTGGTTGCTGGGATCTCATTATAGATGGTTGTGAGCCACCATGTGGTTGCCAGGAATTGAACTCAAGACCTTTGGAAGACCAGCCAGTGCTCTTAACCTCTGAGCCATCTCTCCAGCCCATTAAAAAAAAAATGATTTATTTATTTTTATTTTATGTGCATTGGTGTTATGCCTGCATGTATGTCTCTGTGATGGTGTCAGATCCCCTGGAGATAGAGTTACAGACAGTTGTGAGCTGCTATGTAGGTGCTGGGAATTGAACCCAAGTCCTCTGGAAGAACAGCCAGTGCTCTCAACTGCTGAGTCATCTCTCCAGCCTCCTCAATTGTTTATTCATGCAGTGGTGTCTTTGTAGTATCTATCTGCATTTTCTGTTCTTAGGCGAACTTAACATAGTAGGAAATATAACAGTCCCTAAGCTACTGATTAACACTCCTTACACTAAGGAAAGGCACCTTCCAAAGATGTCTAGTATTTTTATGTTTATTTCCTGAAGATCTTCATAAAGTGATTGATTAGGTTTTCTCTTGCATTGAAAGGATGTTTGTGCCTGCTTATTTAAAAATGTGTTGCACTCAGTTTCTCCGTCCTATACTTCCTGCTTATTAATCATTCAGTCATTTTTTTTTTTTTTTTTTGCATTAAATAAATGCTAGTAGTAGACAGATCACTTGTGTGGTGGCCCAGTTCCAGTACGGAACACAGGCTCGTCTGTTTGTTGTCTCCTTCATTAGCCCTTATTTTGGGTTGCTTTCTAAAAGTTTTTGTTTCTTGTTTCCATTGATGCATAGAAGGGATTTGGGGTGTGGTTTTTAAAATCTGTTTTGGCCTTGAATTCCTGATAACCTTGCTTTATTTTATGGGGTGTGTTCTACATATTACTTGAGTGGGAAGCAGGCATATTTTCTTTCCCAAGGCCTTGAGAACATGATTAGAAAGGAGAGGAGGTGGCAGGAGATGGTGATAGCAACCAAGAGTGACAGACACTTCCTTCTTGTAGAACATTGAGTTGCAAATAGTTCTCAAACTTCAAATGGCTCAGCCTATAGTTTAAAATGGAATACCTCTCTGTAACAACATAGATTTCCCCCCTCCCTGCTCCTACCCCTTTTGGATAAACATTTCAGTTGTCCATTGCCCTTCAGGGGAAAAAAAATGAAATGAAAGATGCTGTTTGTTTCAGTAGGTGCTGATTAGGGCAAGCGTGTGGTGAAATGGTCCTTCCAAAATGGCGTCAGAGCAGATGATTTCTGTTTCCACATCTTCCCTGATAACTGAATTGTTGACATAAAATAATGGCCTTTAACCATGAGAATCCCATAGTTCTTACCCTCTTGTAACCACCCTTAGTAAAGAAACCATATTTTTCTTCAGTTTTCCAGTTGCACTTTGAACTTTTTCCTCCAGTCCTGAAGTTATAAGCATGAAACCTGTGTGCCATCCTCTTGCAGAGGGTCTGAGTTTGGTTCCCAGCACCTACATGGTGACTCACAGCCACCTGTAACTCCAGTTCCAGGAGACTGGACACCTTCTTCTGGTACCTATGGGCACTAGGCATTGTCATGATGCAGAAACGCACAAGTAGGTAAAACACTATACACACTACAAAATCTGAAAAATGAATGAAATGCACACCCAGTGAAAAGTTCACTGTGGAATACAATATAGATGTGAAGAATGACTGATTCTGCAAGTAGACACAAGCAGTGTGTGAGAGAAAGAGCAGCAGCTTGCCTCGGGAACTCATTTTACCCAGAAATCCCTCGTAAAGTTCCATGACTCCATCCCACTAGAACCATTCAACAGAACTGTGTCATTGGCGGAGACATTTGCCTTACCTTCGCCCTCCATCACTAAGTTTTCAGGTTAATACCAGGAAGTATGAGAAATGGCAGGTTCTTGACTGTTGGCTTCATTTGTATTGGTTGGAACTTGCTTCTTGTAATACAAAGTCCCCAGACAAGACCTTAGTTCCACAGTTTGTCCGAATCTGGACTTTGTTGTCTCTAATGCTTAAAACACCATGGAAATCATTAACTCCACGAGCCTCGGATGAAGCCTTGGCAGCTAGCCAGAGCTCCTTCTTCCACTGTTGTGTTCAGAGCAGTAGAGGCAGAGTTTAATTAATCTTTTGATTTAGGGAAATCATTACAGACGATATTTAGGTAGGCTATAAAGTAAGAAATGCTGGATTTTGAAACTTGCCCGATTTGAGTTTAGAAAGTTCAAGGGATTAATGCTAAGGGGTGGAAATGGCCAGCTTCAGGTTCTAACCTGTTCCCAAATGCTCATTGACCCCAACGCCATCCTCATGAGAAGGCTGCTTAGTTGGGCCTTTGGAATTTCAGAATAACTGAAGGTCGGATAGAATTGCTCTCTTGCCCCAGCCTAGGCCCTGCTTGACAAACTCCTTGCTTTATCTGCTGAAGGGAATGGAAGCTTATCAGTGTGAC